TCGCGCTCACAGAATCGGCCAGAAGAAGGTGGTCAACGTCTACCGCCTCATCACGCGCGGCACATTGGAGGAGAAGATTCTCAGCCTCCAACGATTCAAGATTGATGTCGCCTCCACGGTAGTCAACCAGCAGAACGCTGGGTTGGCGACGATGGATACAGATCAAATCCTTGACTTGTTCAATTTGGGCGACTCGGGACCGAGTCTCATATCTGACAAGCCGCAAAACGGCATTGATGGCAGAGAGGAGGACATGGTTGACCTCGAGACTGGCGACGTGCGGCAGCCGGGCAAGAAGGCATGGCTGGACGATCTGGGCGAATTGTGGGATAACAAGCAGTACGAAGAGAGCTTCGACTTGGACGATTTCATGAAGACCATGGCTTGAACGAGGTAGCCGATGCTTGACGGGTTAATTTCTCGATGTCCCTACCTAGTTGGGGGTCCCGATCTGAGAAAAGATGGCTACCAAAGAGCAGCTAAAAACGAAACAATGACTACATGTTTAATACTACTAGGCGCGATTGCTTCTCGCTTTCTTAGTTTTGCTTGCTCTTTTCTTTATCGTTTGCTTCTTCTTTGCTAAAACAAAAATATCCGAATGCTTTCGTTGGTCCTGTATAGTAGATAGACTACCTAGGTTAGGTATTGAAAACCAGCGGCGGTGCGAACGAGCGCCTTGTATGATTAGCCGCAGAGGAGACATTTAAGATGGGCTACAGGGATATATGACGTGAAATCGAGAAATGAATATCCGGTCAACTCCCGCCCTAATTTTGACGCTGTGTTTTGCTGTGTGTTGCTTTTGCTGTATGAGGCTCCTATTTGATGCCTTAGTAGTAAATCATGTACAGGTTGGACCCCGCCAAAGCTTCGGTGGACTTCTCTGCCCCACCTTGGAATCTCTTCCACGGTGATGTCAAGGGAAGCTTCTTTGTTCTCACAGCTTCGTTCTCCATCACAATCATTGCAAGTTTGAGCCTCGAGATCAGCTGGATACAAGCAGTGTGCGAGATTCTACTTCCACACATACATCCTGCCCTCCTGCAGCACAGCCGAGCTCTCGGGAGCTCCAAGAGCAGCCCGCCATGCCTATTGACTACAGCCGATTTGTACGCAGCGCGGATGCAGTGCCCCCCGTGTCGTGAGAAGTGCAGTCATTGACCAGTGGCATTCATCAACTAGGACGCGATCGAGGTGAGCGACGATTCCGACATCGAAGTTCACCCCAACGTGGACAAGCGGTCTTTCATTCGAGCGAAGCAAAACCAGATCCACCAGGAGCGTCAACAGAGGAAGAACCGCATCGCAGCACTCAAGTATGAGCGTATCATCAACAGTGCCCTGCTGGGCAGGATAATATCTCTCTTGGACTCGCTCAAGTCCCACGCTTCCGAGGCTGCGACTGGGAACCAGGCCGAGATTGCTTTCAAGGCCGTCATGTCCACCGCCGGGGACCCGAAGGACGACCAGCCGCCTCCACGACCGGAGGGGGTCTTTAGCGACGACCAACCACTCCCTTCATACTCGAAAATGCTGATGCAACTGCTGGACCAGGTGAACAAGGCCCTTGAGGAGAAGAAGCCCGATGATCGGTATACGGCGATGATGGACGAGATCCAAGAGCACGTGGACAAGATTAAGGAGCTGCAGAGGGAACAGGCACAGGAGCTGGAGAATCTTGAAAAGGAAGAAGGAAAGAAGATTACGAGCGATAACATCCATGATGGATTCAACAGCTCGCATGTGAACAAGTCAGGGCCGTCGGAGAAGAAGGATGACACCAAGGTGGAGCTTCTGAACCCCAACTTTTCCACCTCTGCATCGGCTTCGGCATCAGGAGCGTCTTCATCGAACAAGGTCGCGGTGGATGACGACGACGAAGTGGAAGCATCACCAACTGCCAAGAAGTTTTCAGAGATTGGCGTCAACGACTACCAAGCTAGTTTGAAGTTCCTGGCTCAGCACCCGGAGATCTTGACGGAGCGAGAGACGGACGGACTGCTTGTGCTTGCGTTTGACGCAGCCTTGGAGCGCAAGGACGATTTGGCCCGTCAGTGCGTTCACCAGGCGCTATTGCTACAGTACTGCCGCGCTCTGGGCAAGGATGGCGTCGCGCTCTTCTTCAAACGAATCACGACCAAGGGGCACCAAGCGCAAGATGTTTTTTACAAGGATGTTCAGGAGACATACATGAGAATCAAGAATAGGTCGCTTGAGATCATCGCCGAGCGGGCCAAGGAGCCGACGGAGGTCGAGCAGATCCAACTCCATGCCATGGAGCCCGGTACTACGATCCAGATCAGAGTTCCCCCCGCCGAAACCGATGACCCGGATGCCCAGGCGGCCCGGAAAATCTTTGATAGCTTTGCTCCTGATATGAAAAAGGCACTAGAGTCAGGGGAACTGGACGAGGTCAACAAGGTGTTGGGGAATATGAAGGTCGAGGACGCGGAGGAGCTGGTGGGTCTCTTTGGTGAGGTAAGTTATGCACGCCCATGTTTGGGCATTACAGGCAACCGTTTATTTGAGAGCACCAGACTTACAAGTTTTCTCCGTCTTAGGCCAATATTCTAAGTCTCGAAGACGAGCTGATCGATGCCACAACTGAAGAAGGGCAGCAACAGCTCAGGGAAATGGAAGCCGCAGCGGCAGCTGAGAGAGCAGCTGAGAGAGCAGCTGAGAAAGAGGCCGAGAGGGAGGTGGTGGGCGATCCTGAGTGAAGATGACTTGTGCCGATGTACTGTGTCACAAGAGAGGACTGTGGTATATGCAAAATACGAAAGGGTAGCGATGGCAAGGATGATGATGATACCAACCGGGGGAATAAAAACGTCTGGGATCAATCACTCAAGTGGGATAATTTTCGAGTTCTCTGGCAAACGCTTCATTGAGGTTCGACCTTGCATGGGTTGATGGTTTAACAAAATGTGTAATAATAAGGACTAAAGAGCCCATGCGGGCTGTGTTTCTTGCCAAGATGATGGATGGCATCGCCGAAAGAGATTTGAGTGATACGAAGTCAATGTTGGGTCATCCTTGAAACTAAAGCCGATGACCTGCGGATGTGGACTTGGACCCAGCGGTTGTATTACACCCGAACGACGACGATCCTTGTACTGTGATTTTGACGAGGAGATTTGGCCCAAAATGCTTATGTTATGCTTAACAAGGTTCAGGTTCGGGGTACAGCAGCCTTTCTGACAGCCCAATCCTGTTCATTCCCACGGCGAAGCTTTGGATTTTGAGGCTATGGGTTTTGGGCTTGACAAGGGCGGACAAGGAGCTCGACTCCACTGACCGCGCGGCCTTTTTGGGGGGGGGGGGGGGGGAACGGTGAGATGGACGTTTGGTACTG